TTTTATACTATGCAACTGATAAAGAATTCTGGAATTAAATCTTGCCTAGTGTAGGAATGCAAATGTTTACTTTCAGTGACATTCAGATGTTTTGAAATATTCAGTATTTCACTTCTTTAAGCTTCTTGTTATATCATGGCCTTAGTCTCCTGTTGTGCTAGGAATCGGCTAATACTGGGTCAAAGGGGATGCAATTATCATAAAAATATTTATCATGCATATTCTGTTTTAAAGACAATAATAAATACAAACTATTTTGCACTTGCAAAATCTCTTTTGTAAAAAGAGATAAAGAGATGCTGAATTTAAATGTTGAGTGGGTTGTCAAAGCCAGCACTACAGTCCGAGTACAGGTTTTAGGGGCAGAAAGAAATGGCAAGTAGCTGAGCAGGTAGGGACAGAATGGTACGCTTGTAAAACAACCACATCCAATTTCTATTACTGTTTGCTTCGTTAGGCTCTGAAAGTTTGACTATCTTCTTCTTTTTTTGGAGCGGGAGGGTGTGAAAGGGTGAGGGAGGGGAAGAAGGATTACATTATCACATTTCTTCCTCTCCTTGTTCCTGTTTCTATATTCCAGAGGTACGAGCATCAGGACTTAGTTAAGTGGAAAAAAATTATTACATTTCGATTTTTGTCTATCTGAAATGGAAAAAACTGTGTTAGGAGAAATGTGAAGGAGGAGCAGCACAGGGTCGATTGAGCACAGCAGTGGAAAGGTCTAATTTATTCTAGTAGCTGGACCTGTGCAATGACAGATAATGCGTTCTTGGGTAACTTGGCTCTCAAGAAGCAGGTTGAGAACTTCTCATGCCTTTCTTAAAGAGACCATTGCCTTCCAGTGATGTAAACCATATATAATCTAGTCTGAAAATCTAATCATGCTTTGGCAAAGACTGTAGGGTTGCTATTAATCGTAACAAAATCTGAGGTACATGTAAAGTTTCAAATAAAGTTAAATCCATCCTATTGTGGAATAATGTCTCTGTGGAATAACAGGGAAGAATATTCACTTGCCTATAGATTTGCTTTTGCAGTTTTATAGCTTCTACATAGAAGCCAGGCAATTTGCTCAGTTCCAAGTTTGGTTGATTTTTTTATTTCCATTGTATATGAATTTGTAACAAATACTAACATAGGGACTTTTTGAGGGTTGTGGTGATGGTGAAGAGACAGCATGTTGAAGTTTTCTTATATAGGCACATAGAAGTAGACTGTGAAAATCTCTGCTTTCAAATAAGTATTCTTACCTTTGTAAAACGAATTTAGGGGTGGAGAGGGGCTTACAGTTTGGTTTTATTTTTTTTTCTCTTAACCATGAGTGATGTGAGGCTCTAATGAATCAGTTGGAAGGGATCAAACATATAGATTTTCCAGCAGATATGCACAGTGTTTGCAGCAGAGGAACACTGGGAAGTACCTATCTGTAGTGCTCTGGAATATAATCTGTTTTGCACTTTGCTGCTCAGTCAGAAGTCGAGTCACTGCTTTAAGTCAGAATTCCATTGCTGTGGCTGATTACTTCTAAAGCACTAAGCAAGCTTAATTACGCTATTCACATAAACTCAGATCTAACAGTTCTTCTAATCTAGAGAATCTAGAGGATTTTTGTCTTTTCCCTTTAGGGCATGTAATTTAAATGTGGCTATATTATAATGTTTTTTATACCTCTGTGGCACGTCAGAATCTTTGTCATAGTGGGATTAAAGCCCAAGACCTGCCTGATTTTCCAGTATATTTTTATATTTAATTTTTCATGTTTCAGCTGAGTTTGGGCTTCATAGGGCTCCATAACCTTGTTTTGCTGACAGTGGCACAAATGTATCAATTAGTATCAGGAATTTATAACCTCTATATAACTTAATATGACAATAATCTTTATATGACCGTCTGTCATCTTTGTTTTATACGTCTTCCCTTATCCTTCTGTAAAAGAATGATTTAACTTTGTTTAATATGTGGATACTATAGTTATTTCTGTATGGTATGAAAACTGAGAACAATGTTGTTATATGCTATTAATTTCATATCCAGTAAATCAGTCTGCAGAACAGTAGCTCAGACCAAATAACTCTGAACTGAGGTGGATAAAGTCAGCCTGGGACATGTTTGATCTGCACCTGAGTGCAGGCACTTACCAAACAGTAGAGATCAGGTACCGTGAAGCTTAGTTAAACAAACATACAATTGAAGCACCTGATAAACTAACCCCTGTAAACCCTGACTGTTCAGAGAAATTGCTTAAGCAAATACATGCAACTATAATTTGCATCTACTTCAAGATGAAAGAAAGGATTCTTTGATCAAATACACAGGATTGCCAGCTTGCCATCTGGAGGGAAGTCAGACTCATGTTTGCTTTAGTGCTAACAGGTATAAATCTGTGAACTTTGATGCAGTTGTGGTTTTTCATTCCGGAGCATGCTGGGAAGGCACCTTGATCTCATGAGTCTCAATAATATTAGGGTTCTGTAAAGAGCGCAGGGCAAATAAGATAAAGTAAAAAAAAAAAGTCCCTAAGTGGACTGTGGGAGAATTTAGCAAATTGCTGTGAAAGAAAAAATTAAATTCTTCTATGCAATGAAAGTAATCTTTCAGTTTAGGGGGTTTGAAAACAAGAATAAATCAGTCTTCAGACTAACTATGCAAATAATTTTCTGTGCTTTTGTGTTCAGATAAACAGAACTTGTAAAAACAGCTGCTTGAAAACCTCTGGGTTCAGTGAAGTCTCAATAACACTGAAATTTTAAGCAAAAACAATATGTTAAAATTTAATGTGTTTTCTTTTTTTTTTTTAAATAACCTTTAGCTATTCAACCAGCTCAGCTTGTTAAAATATCTCAATTGTTTAAATACTCCACTCTAAGCAAAATATTTTATGATGGCAGGAAGAATAGGATGGAAAGCCAGTAAAACTATAAAACTACTAAATGAGTGAAACTTAAGGTGAAAGAGAAAAACTACAGGGTTTATGAGTACGAGAAAGCATGATTAGAGGGAAAAAACAAAGACTAAAATATAAGGAGGGTGAGTGGAGAGAAAGTTGCAATGATGTGTGATGAGCTTATATGCTAGACTCAACCATCCATCATTGCACCACAGATGAAGCTCTGTCTGAAGAGGTTAGAAACATAACTTCGTATTTTGAACAGATCACTTTCTACGTGTCTTCATTTTCATAAGACCGTATTTATTCCTTTATTTATTTAGTAAAGGAAAACTAATGTAATCTTACACCTACTGGTCATTTACTAGAAAATTCCCTTTTCTTGTGGCAGTTTTGCACAGCGTATCTCAGCTGCTCTTGTATTGAGCCCAACTCTTCTTTTTTTGCTGGGTTCCCTAGTTCCTCTCACTTTTGTGAATTATAATTTTTTTTCTTGTATGTTATGCATTTTCATGTAACTGTGGGATAAAAGCATGCAAAAAAAATCAATATTATTAAAAGCAAGACAAAGGGAGAAGAGCTGTAGGCAGATGTTTCCAACATAGAATGGAGAATTATTTTTTTTTCCCTAAGGTTTACAGCTGGCCTTCACATAAGATGAGTTTATCTATGTCACAGATGAACATGGGAAAACATGCAGAGACACACCACAAAGCTTTTCTTCTATTGTCTTGTGATACAAGCAAAGTTATACACCTGAAGGGAATTAATTTCTTTTCCTATTCATGTGGTCCTCTACATGTTGTATTTTGGAAAAGGTGTTTATCAATAATTGTGTTGATGATCAGAAAAATGTATTTGAAAAGAGATAAAGAATATCTCTTGTGTTGAGTTTAAAAATTAAAATAAAGACTCTCTAAAGAATAGTAAAGTCCAAAATTTATTGCTCTCCAAAATTTATTGCTTTGCATCTGATGCTGGAAATTGAGAACTTATACAGATCTTTGTCCTTATTGCTTTGAACTGGTATCTTTTCGTGGAAGCTGAAGATCTCTGAATCTTCAGAGCTGAAGATTCTGCATCTCTCCCAACCTTTTAGCTCCTTATACTTAACAAAGTGGCTTCACTCTGATATGAATCTTGCCATGGTTTTACTTACCTTGTAATTTTGTATGTCTAGATGCGTATACATGATAATCTCCTGATTCTTTGGGTTTAGCTTTTTTTAAATCCCTTTTGTCAAAGTTCTGGAAAGATAAACTTTAACATTCAGGCCTGGAAAACAGAAAAATACCCCCCCACCCATGTGTGTCTGTGCAGTTTTCTGAAAGGCAAATACATGTTTATTCTGCCAGGTAACTGTATTAGAGCAACACTGAGATTGAGCTAATGCATTCTGCCTCCTAGCAGTTGTACTATTTCCAAATCCAAGTTGTTTTATGGCCAGTTATCTTAATGTGAAAGCTGTGAATACCTGATCATACTCATTCGACCAGGAGTCCTCTCTTAGCTTGAGGACTGTTTAGTGACACCGTCCTGCATATGAAAGTGGGCATTTGGGACAGAGAAGATAATATTTCAAGGACTTCCTTCAGTCTCTGCCAGAAAAGGTTGCCAGGTACATACAGGACATTTGGATTAGTCAAGGGAAAGCAGTAAATTATTGCTTTCCAAAAGCAAAGTGGTGGTTAATTTGTTAGTTCTCTGTGCATAATGCCAGTTAGCTCAATGGCTTCAATTAAAAAGTCTGGCAGGAATTTAGCCCTATTTTTTGTGATTGGTCTTCCCTAATACTTTTCAGATAAGGTTGCTGATAAGAATAACTGTTAAATACTCTTTCTATTACATCAATATAAATCTACCAGTCAGTTAAGCTAAAACCAGAAACATTGTATGCTGTGTCATTTCAAGTCAGTGCTTGCTTTCTGGAAGCAACTGCATTTGATCACTTCTGTTACCAGTGTTGTCTTAAACAACATTAGATATTGTGTCATTGTCTCTTCCTAAACATATATATTAATTCAAGAAGCAAGCGATCATAAAACACTTTGTGAAATGTAAGTATGTTCAAATGTGATAGTCACAATCATTGAATCTCTTTTTGAACCTACAGGGGTAACACCACAGAGGAGCAGAATAGTGGAGATGGCACGACGACCACTGTGTGTATTGGGTTTAGGCCCACTGACTCATGGTCGCTTTGGCTAGCAGTGTAGAGAAGCCACAACAACCTTTCTCACTCACAATAAAATGCCCCAGTTGATGGAATGCTGTATTTTGAAGAACAGCATATATGAAAATCATTCCTGAAGGAACTCATTCGAAGGTATGATTTTTCTCTGTGTATTTTCTTCCACAGCCAGTTTTGCTTTCCTGAACACAGTATGATATACTGTTAATATTATTGCTGATTGCCAGTCTGAGTGGATGTCTTGTTGCAAAATGGGAGGAAAGAAAAAGGCAAAGATCCAAGTATGTTTTCTTTTAAAATCACGTAATCTGTTGTGGCACAGGGTCTCATCTGAGTCCTTTAGGAAGCTAACATAACGGTGGCAGCATTTCTGGAAATGTTAGAATCCCTTTAATGGTTACTTTCTCTTTTTCTTCTTGACCCCTATACTTTCAAATAATTTTTTTGTTAAAGTTGACATTTCTCCTCTGCATTATTTCAGTTCCTGGTAGTTTATTGTGTGATCTCATAGCTACAGCTGAATAAGCTTTAAAAGCCTTATCTTGCCTTTAATTTGTGATTATAGCTTTCAAAAGTTCCCTAAAATTCTAATTTTTAAGAAGAAAAACATATGGAGGAGGAGAAACAAGCAGAAGTCTGTAGAAAAACACTGTTGGAAGTTTCAGAAGGCAGCCGAGCAAGCTCCTGGTTTGTATTGCTACCATGTAGTGTACATTTTTGCAGAAAATATAAATAATTGGGTATCATGCATAGGATTCTGAGAATTGTAGAAAAGAGTATTCTACCACACACTGCTGACTGGGGAGCATGCAGAGTCCTCCATGGCTATGACAGTGGGCAAATATGATTGGTGACTCTGAAGCTCCTGAGGAGGAGGCAGTACAACCTGCTAGAGACTGACAGTTACTTTTTGTGGGCAACAGCTTGTTCCCAAAGCCTTAACTTCAAGTCTAGTAGGTATTAATGATGTTTAGTAAGACCAATAATGCTGCTTTTTCTACATAAAACATTGATAAATGGCATTCCCTTAAAACATTGTCATGAAGCATTCTGCTGTTGCTTGCAGTGCTAGTGAATATTAAGCAGAACACCACTGTTTGAATTCAAGCAGTCTGAATGAAAAACGACAGTGTTTTGGAGAGTTATTTTTAATGCAGATAATTGCACTGATTGAATTTGCCACATGGCCCCAAAGTAGTTACACCTGTAGGAATAGGAGTCAGTGACCAAAGTCTTGGGGTGACTTGGGAAGCAGGAGAGCTTCTTAAGATAAATTAATATGCTGTGAAACTTTACAGCTTCGTTGCTTATAAAAGTAGTTCCTGTTCATCTGCTTAGCCATGCTGATGCCAGCAGTGGAAATGAGTGTTTCCAGGATTAGACCTTCAGTTGTGTATTTTTATGTGCTTTCTAATGTGCTACTGTTCTTACAGACCCACATCAGGAAAAGTCCTTCCAGTCGGTTTTAATGTTTCTTGTTTAACTTGACACTTTTGATGCTAGGATGATTAAGTATGATATGTCCTGCAAATGAGGAAAGATCTTCCTGCTTCCCAGCAATTTTTCCCTCTGAGGTCATGAAGGGAGGTTACCCATTTTCATACATATCTTTATCACAAGGGAAATCACCAATAGCAGAAACAGTTCACAGATTTTGGAAACATGAGTGACAAATCAAGCTACAAGTATCACCATATTCTTAATATTATTCTGAGCTTAAAAAATAGTAAGTTATGGTATTGTTAATGCTCAGTGCCTCACAGAAGCAGGCTTTGCCTTTCATCTTCACAGATTTTTACAGGTGCTCAAAACACACCTAAGCCTTTGTTGCAGTTCTTGACAAGACAAAAGCTGTGTATCTCTGTTTTCAATGTATTTTAAAGTTGTATAATCAAATACTAAAGAAGAAAAAACCCATAGATCTTAATTGTAAAGGCTAAGACAGGGAGATGGGAGCTGGAGATGGGTATTGTTTCTGAATGTGCCGTGGATCTCTTGTGTAATCCTGGGCAAATCACCTGGCTCTCTACATAGAATAGAAATTTAAGTGTATAGGCAAATAGCTGTCTAACTTTAGTAAATAATCCTTTTATGCCTCTGTTTGAATTATAAAATGGAAATAATAGTATTCCTTTTGGTCATCGGATAGCTGGAATACCCTTGTGAATAGCCTGTAAGAATTGTCTATGTGCAGTCCTGAAAATGAAGAGTACTCTTTTTGGAACTACAAAAGAATTGCAAAATCAGTGTCTTTATCCAACTTAAATTTCATACCATCTCCTTTTTTTTTTTGTCTGTCTGCTTTCATGAGCTTGCTGCTGCAATGAATGGTGCTTTCTAGGGAATGCAGCTGTTCAGTCCTGGAATTAATATGTAAATGCTCTTCTGTTATTGAAGCAGGGGAGGAAGATGGAACATAGCTGTATTTTCTCTAATCAACATACTCTCTTTTTCATCTGGAAGTACAACAAAGCTGACTCTCAACCACACAAATAATAGAATATTTATTTTTGCAGAAATAAACACATTCAGAAGCATACTTTTCTTGAAAGCTTTTACTGACCAACCCAAACAATATTTTAGTTCAATGAAAATATATATATTTAGAACTATTCACATACAAATCTCTCGTTCTTTTTCAGTAAAACAAATAGAACAAACTTAGTACATTGGCAGAATGCTAACTTCAGCTGCAGAAGTGTAGTACAGAACTGCAAATGTAACCATCACTGCATTTTTGCAAAATGCAAATTCATATGTCAGAACCATCCCTATTGTAAAAATCTAATTCTGCCCTCATACTCTCAGATAGGGGTCCCGCAGAATCAGCTCAAGTATGTATGCCTGATCTCCATAGGACCCAGTGAGTAAAAATGCTACCCAACAGGAATAATGAAATTTTGCAGTTTGCTCAGCACAAATATAATTCAACAAATAAAGTAGGAGATGGTAGAAAATTGGACCTGTTGTCTTTAATTCATTCATATTAATAGAATACATTTCAGGACTCTAGATATCAAAGGTGACCAAATGAGCTATGCAGAGAGAATCAGTGATTCCCTACAGAGTTTTTAGCAGGGCAGAGGAAATGGTACAAGTTGTTCTGAAGATTGTTTTTGATTTGGCATAATATGCACTTAGATTGAAAAATACATATTCCAGAATTAGTGTGTGACAGGCTTTGTATGCCTTTTTGCTGATGCTTAATATAGTTACTTCCCTTTTAGCCTAGCAGACAGTTCCAGGCAACAGTGAAATAAAAGTTGAGCAAAGGACACAGGACAGCTAACGGTGAGATTCTAAAGTCAAACCCAAGAACTTGAAATCAATAAAGCAAGCTACTGGAAAACAATGTAAGGATTGAGGCTGCAATTGCAGGGTGGGCTGACGTAAGCCAATTTAATCAGTAGGTTGGCTGCTGATTTGGGAATAAAAAAAACTATTTGTATGTGAAGAAGAAAAAATATGACAATAGAAATTAAAGATATATCTGTAGTATGTAAACTCTGAATTGAAATAGTATGTTAACAGTGTAAATTGGCCAAGTCCTAAATGGTTGAATGCATTTGTGAATGGCACTTATAAGGTGTATTTTGAATGTTTGTAAAATAGGAATGACAAAAGCAATCCTATAACAGTCAAGATACCCTTCAGTTAGAGGGATAAAACCACCTAATATATCAATCAGCATGCTTTGTGTGGCATGAGTCCATTTACCTGAGGTGTTGCAGACAAATTTTATTAGATTTGAAATTCCTGTCTTTATTTCTTTTTAGAGGTCTTTTACTAAAATCTTTAGATAGTGGTAACACATTAAGTGATTCTTTCTTTCTCCTTGTAGACGTGCTGTATAAAGAAATGAGTGAGACACAGTAAAGAAAGATGTTTTAAAAAAATCGAGGCCTGAAAGTTAGAAGGATAATATAATAAAATGCAAAGGAACTTTTTGAACTGCCTCCCCTGTATCCTCAAGATCATAATATTGTCACTTCAGGTTTTCCCCTTAATTTTAACAAAGTGAAGGAGGTTTTGATTCACTTTTTTGATCAATAAGCCACCCTTACAAGACGTGGCACTTGTGGCTATTGCTGTCAGGTTTATTGGATATTGCGTTACTCCTAAGTTGTGGTTAAATATGTGCTGAGAAGTTAACCTGCAGTTTGTTGGCAGATTAATTACATTCCTGTGTAAATCAATGGAATTCTGGCCTGTTTATACCCCCTGCAAAGCACTTTCTGTAGTTTGATACTGATCACTTGAATAAACATAAAAAGTGGATGGTACTGTTATCTCTCATAAAGAGCTCTTTATAAAAACCTAGCTGTTTAATTTGTGTGACTGGCTCAAAGTAGTATTTTCTTGACAAGCAGACCCAAACATCAGTATCACAACTGCCCACACATTCAGTGGTTAATTTTCTTTTGATAAGTACTAGATCAAACCACTTTGCAAAACCTCAGTTATCCGCAAAACCTTTAGCCAATCAAGATATTTCTCCAAACAGTTCCCACCTCAGATGCAAACTCCAATTTGTCTTCTGAAATTATAAAACTGCTCCTTTCTGAATTGGATAGCTTTTATGTAATTAGTCAGGCTGGATGTCTCTAACTTACATGAAAATTGGTTATGGTGAGTAATGATAAGGCTTCACCAGTTAGACCTTTCATGATATAGGCATCCCACTTGCAGTACTGTTTAAAGTTTTAGATGAAGGGCAAGGAAGTCCTTGGGAGAAATCTCCGAGGGTCTTATCTCACTCCCCTGCCTGTTCCCAGTCAATCAGTTCTTTGTGCACTTAGCAGCAGTAGTCAGTTGCCTTCCCTCATTATGTCAGCTACTGGGGAGTTTGGCCTCCTATGAATCTGAGTACTGTGTGAAGTACTGGGGAAGTAAGAGAAGGACTCAGTAGGACAAGACTGCATCCAGCCCTTTAACCTCCTCTGCCCTTATTGGAGTGAAGATCTTGTGCATGTTGTGCAGAATAGGGCTGGGCTGGGTCAGATTGTTTTGGGTCATACCAAGCCAAACTAGTGCTGAGAATGCTGTGCTGCTATCTAAATGTGTTGGCAATGCTGGATACTGGTATGTTTAGAAACACAGTGCTGCTGTGTAGTTTCTGGGTGCCTGTGCGTTTC